TCTCGCTAGACCTTACTTTTTGTACAATAATCTCACCGCTCTTCTGGAGCTCGTGTTGGTAAAAGAATTTTGGAGCAATATATTTTGTCATGCTTCATTTGACATACCCACTACTCATTTGTAAAACACAAGCTGCATTGTCCTCATAAAGGACAGTGGGGGTTATATCATTCGTAATTCCACATGATCCACGAATATGTTGGATTAAAGATCTTAACCATACACATTCGCGTGAAGTCTCGTATAAAGCAATTATTTCAGAATGGTTTGAAAATGTAACCATGGACTGCTTTACCGATTTCCAAGAAATTGCAGTACCACCACAAAGAAAAACATAACCAGTTTGTGATCTAGCATTATGGGGATCAGACATATAACCAGCATTCGAATAGCCCACCAATGTCATATCTTGATTTTTCTTATAAAGTAAACGAAAATCTTGTGAACCTTGAAGATACCTAAAAATATGTTTAATACCATTCCAGTGTCTCCTCGTAGGAGAAGCACTAAACCTTGCTAGCAAGTTTACTGCAAATGCAATATCATGCCTGGTGCAATTTGCAAAATAAAGTAACGCGTCAATGGCGCTCAAATAAGGAACTTCTGGTCCTAAAGTTTCTTCGGTATCTTCTTTAGGTCTAAATGGATTCTTTTCCGCTTCAAGGGATTGGACAACCATTGGTGTGCTAAGTGGATGAGATTTATCCATGTAGAATTTTTCTAAAACTTTCTTCAAGTAGGTTGACTGGTGTACAAATATTCCTTCAGGGAGATGCTCGATCTACAGGCCGAGACAATATTTGGTTTTACCCAAATCTTTCATTTCAAACTCCATCTTTAGGCGTGAGCTAGCTTTAACAAGCTCCTCTCGTGTGTCAATTATATTTATGTCATCGACATAAACTGAAATGATGTAAAAGCCATTCGTTGACTTCTTCATAAACACAGGGGCACACATCGTTATTCACATAATTATTTTTCAACAAAAACTCACTCAGCCGGTTGTACCACATTCTACCCGACTGCTTTAAGCTATATAATGACTTTTGTAATTTAATGCTATACATGTTGCGCGTTTCATTTTATCTTATTTCAGGAACATTTAATCCTTAAGGGATTTTCATATATATATTTGTGTCTAATGACCCATATAAATATGCGGTCACGACATCCATTAACTGCATATCTAAATTCATAGCTACTGCCAGAGATATCAAATAGGGGAACGTTATTCCATCCATTACAGGAGAATATGTTTGGTATAAATCAATACCCATTTGTATCTCACCACATCATTGTTTTCATTTCTCTTTCGCACGAACACCCATTTATATCCTACTGGGATAACATTTTGAGGTGTGCGCGCAATAGAGCCAAAAACTTTTCGTTTATTTAGCGAGTCTAGTTCAGCCTCAATCGTCTCTTTCCATCTTACCCAATCAGAGCGCTTCCGGCACTCTGCAATTGATTTAGGTTCTGGATCCATATTATTCGAGATGGTAAAGGCAACTATAGAGACAAATGTGTCGTCGACGACTATGTTACTTCTATTATAAGTTTCTCCTGTATCAACAAAATTCGTAGCTACTTCAATATTTACATCAACCAGATCTTCATCATTTCCCAATATATTTTGATCTGGATGTTCCGCAATCCTAATATTTTTATTATTTGTTGCACGTGCATTTAAACTAGGATTTTCGCCTTCTGGACGATTCTCTTCTGGAGATTTCGGGAGTGATTCAATATTCTTATTTGATTTTGTTTTCCGCGGATTATTGTCTTTTGTACCAACGGGTCTACCACGCTTCTGGCGTGGAGCATCTGTAGAAATATTAGATTTCATGGGGACTTCCACTCATTGTGGTGCATTTATAGAAGGTACATGTGATTTCGTCACTCCTTTATGACCAATAAATGAATTTGGCAGATTATTTGCTAAATATTGCAAATTAATTATCTTTTGACTTCAAGTTCAGTTTGATTAGTGCGTGGATCTAAATATTGTAGATTTTCTACACTTCAAGAAATTTCTCGGCATTTATTTAAGTTTGAGCTTTTATCTCCCCCTAATGCCGGAAAATTCTCTCCATCGAATATGCAGTCAGCGTACCTAGCTGTAAATTGATCCCCAGTCATGGGCTCTAGGTATTTGAGAATAGACGGAGATTCATAGTCAATATATATACCTAGCTTTCTATGAGGGCCATAGAGGTACGCTGTGGTGGTGATATGGGAACATAGACTGCACAACCAAATACTCGCAGATGAGAAATGTTAGGTTCTTTACCACGCAATAGTTGTATAGGGGAGTAATCATGATATGCAGTAGGTCGGATTTGAATTAGGGCAACAACATGTAACATTGCATGTCCCCAGCATGAAATTGGTAAGTTGGAATTTTGTAACAATGTATGACTATTGTCCAACTGTAGTTGGCTAAAAAAAAAGCATTTGTATTCTCAATTTCAATCCTAATTTATAAAAAATTTAGGTGT